CTCAATGTCACTGTCCTAATTACACTAATTGCAAAAATGGAGTGAGTTAGAATGTTAATAATAACTTCATAAATGAAGTCGTTTGTAATTATTGGGGCAGCCACATGTACGTGACCATCTTCCCTCGACATTCTGCCTTATTGCTTCATCAGAAAACAAGGGTTTGGTTACATGTCTGTCTTTTTTTCTCCATTTTGAAATGAATAATACGGCTTTCTAAAAACCCTGTGACAGGAAAACTAGTGAACTGGCAGGACCACTTGAAGGTGCACTTGATCAGTGGGTGAAAATCCTAGCATTTCAGCAAGTTCCACTGAAACCTGTTCAGTGCACCTGGTAGAGTAGTCTGAGATGTGAGAGGAAGGTGAGTGCACCTGAGAGCAAATGGCAAACTTGCCTTCTCCTTACCTTGTCCTTGCTTCTAGCAAGGCTGTGCCACTCCAAGAGCTCTGTTTCTTATAAATATTAAAGTGTTTCTAAGTCATTATAGGACAGCATTCCTAAAGATGAACTAGGAAAACAGGAGAAATGAAGTCAGTGTTGAGTTGTACTTGCTCTCAGTGTATCTGTCTCTCTTTAATTATAAAAGAGGTTCAAGTATATCCAGAGAAGTATTTTAAAATACTATCAAAATTGTCAGCATTCACCATTGATAAAAGAAAAAAATACAAATACTCGATACAAAAACTACATGAGAGAATCATTTTTTGTAGAAAAAGCACTCCAACAATGATCATACCATTTCACAGGGAAGGTCCCTTGCCCTTCACTGTAGAGCTTTTCCTTCCTGGCTTCTTCAGTCCAAATAGTGCAGACCTGTTCTAGGGATACAAAGGCATCGGAAGATAAGGAAGGAAGAAAGGTCTTCCTGTTCCTTTTTTCTAATTCTTTTTGGGTGTGTGTATTGCTATAGAAGGTGTGCCTTCTTATAAATTGCCTTCTTCCCTAAATATCTCAGACAATACAGTCTTACCATTATTCTGCACTTTTTTTTTTCATGAAATGCCTCACATGTATTATTTAGTTCCCTCAACTAGGCTGCTGGGGCAACAGCTATGTACTGAAGTAGTTTCACAAAAAGTACTTAACTCAACCTTAGGCACTTAACAAATACTCAGAAAATGCCATTTGATTAAAAAGGTAATTTGGAAGTGACAGATCTGGAGGTAACTAAGCTGTCAGTCAAGAGAGGCAGAAATGTGTGGATGAAACGGGTCCTGAGTCGTAGATGCAAGCAGAATCTAGGGCAAAGCTTCTGTAGTTCACAGCCATGGTTTCCATACTAATGAAACCATAGGCATAGCTGAAGGGCCAGCTAATGTGAGGACAAAGAATTAAGCGTCTCCCTCTCTGCCTGCTGCTCACCATTCTCCCTGTGCCCCCACACTGGCTACAGATACAAACACAGAACTCTTCCTAAGCTGTGGGTCTCAGAATCTCACAGCCTGTGGGACAGGGCTAGTGATCGCTGGAAGGAAAGCTGTGCCTTCAGTCATGGCCTCCTCTCAGCATAGAGCCTTGCACATCCAGTATTTCTCAAACGTTTTGTCTTGGGAACCCTCTGTGCTTTTTAAGAGGACCAACAAAGTAACACAGAAACTCTTGTGCAGACTTTGTAGTCGAAGAAGCTCTTCAGATTTATCCCGTTCTTAACAAAATTCAAATTATTATTTCAAAAAAATTACTGAGAACTTTTAAGCTTTAGCTTATGTTGGTTATATCTATCAATGTCTACTGAGTTAGAAATTTCAAATGATACATTTTGTTATGTTTGTCAATTTATTTAAACATAATTTTAGAAAGCCCATCACAAGTTCCATAAATAGCGTACTTTTAAAGAGCAGCTAAATGGCCTCAGACAGACACAGCTGGAAAGGAGGAGGGTCTCCACAGCTTTCCCGTGCAGTGGGAGAGATTCTTTTCTGGTGCCATATCAAAATTGAGCAAGTATAGATTCTAAAAAGTTGGTTGACATGTGGAACCTGAAACCATATTAAAGAAATTTTTGAACCCATTACATGTTGACTGGCTCTTTTACATATGAATTTTTGTGACATCATGCATTGGCCAAGGGAAATGATCACTTACTGAGTAACGCAGAGCTTCTAAGTGCTGACACATTTCATTCCGGAATATTTTAAATCACATTTGTCAGCGTCAACATTTAATCAGAAAAGTCTTTTAAATATTAAAAAGCTGTCAAAGCTCACAGTGGCTGATAAATATTTGCTAAAATTTTAGTTTTCACTTGAAAGCTCAAATTTCATTGTTGGCAATAAATACTGTCATTTGCAGTGAAAGGCTTGCTTCTTTCACATTGAGAAAATGTCCAAGTCTGATCAGCTACAGTTTATTGTTCTTGTCATTAAAAATCATATTCCATGAAATACAGAGCAAGTTTAGTTCCCAATTCAGTCATACAAGCACTTTTCCTCAAGAAAAACCATCCAGCATTGATGCACAGCAGAAATACTTCATATATTGAGCATCATGTCACACAGGATTAAAAAGATGCAAACTTCTGCCGGGCACCAGTGGCTCACACCTGTGATCATAGCTGCTCAGGAAGCAGAGAGCAGGAGGATCGTGGTTCAAAGCCAGCCCAGACAAATAGTTCACAAGACCCTATCTCGAAAAAACCCATCACAGAGAAGGCTGGTGGAGTGGCTCAAGGTGCAAGCCTTGAATGCAAATCACAGTATCACAAAATAAAAAAGATGCAAACTCTGGAGTTTTATTAATACAGCTAATACTTTTACTGCTTCATCCAGAACATTCTTCCGTGAAGCTGAGCGTTCTTCTGGGAATGTGACAGTAAAGAGTGCAGTTGCGTCCTGCTGACTTGGTTCGCACTAAGGCACCAGGAGTTTGCCTATTACTGCTTTTGTACCCACCATGCAAATGTCAACCCAGTGAAAAAGGCAAATAACATTTTAGGATTATTATGAAAATGCATTTGGCCTTACAAACTGCCTAAAGGATTCTAGGCCCCCTGGATCTGCAGATTAAACTTGTATAACCATTGTTCCTGATAGTCCTAGTTACCCTTGACTAAGCCAACAGCATGGCCAGGCTTGGTTATGTGCAGTCATTATGTTAATCTCGGGTGTACAGATAGACGGAAGGCCTGACACATTCTGGGAAATGTGTCCTATTTACCCTGGCACATTGTGGCTTCTCTGCTGCTGGTACCTGGGAGCCAGTTACAGTCTTCTATGGTGTTGCTTCTTGGAGCACAAAGCTCCATTACTGAGCTGGAGATGTAGCTCAGTGCTCAAGCACTTGCCTAGCATGCACCAAGCCCTGGGCTCCATCTCTAGCACCATGAAGGAGAGGAAGGGAGGAGAGGGAAGAAAAGGGAAAGAAAAGAGGGGAAGGAGGAAGGGAAGGGAAAGGGAAGAGAAAGGAAGAGCAGGGATGGAAGGGATGGGTACTGAGTCCCTCACATATGTCAGACCCCAAAACATGCTGTTTTTCTGGGTTCCTGAGAATGCTCCCTCTCTTCCCTGAAGTTTTCTTCTCTTGGTTAGTGTTCCTCACACTTACTGGACCTGGTTGTCACAAGTTGGAACTCTGTCCAACATGAATGTCCTTAAATGTCACACCTTCCACTCAGTGACATCTGCCCATATGCAACACAACAATGCTGAATTTTGCTTCTCCTTTTCTGGCAGGACCTGGGGCTCACATATGGGTTTTTGTTGTTTAGGGGGGATTTCTGGACTGAGATTTCAACTCAAGGCCTCATACTTGCTAAACAGGTACTCTTATCACTTGAGCCACATCCCCTAGACCTTTTTTTTTTTCCTTTAGTTATTTTTCAGATAGGATCTTGTGTTTTCACACCAAGATCCTCCCATTCTCTGCCTCTGAGTGGCTAGGATTGCAGGTGTGAGCCACCACTTCCAACTCCACATTTGGTTTTAAACTGTGCATTAGCTTAGTCACACAGATGTAGTTATTTATCCCATTCTCTTACACTTATAGTCAGGGCTGGCTTGGATAAAGAACTCCAGGTTGGGAGGAGTTGTCCTGCTCTGTGTTTCAGGATAAAGGCCATCTCCCATTTGCCCTTTCCTGAGGCATTGGCTGGGCAGGTTCTATTCTCTAGGCCAAAAATGTTGATTTGGGTTTTTGGTCAGTGTGAGGCTAAAAGCTCATCCAACTCCTGAATTAATCTGAAATCCAGGTTAAGGGAAGCTAATATTTACTTGATTTCATTATGACTCCACAAAATTCCCTGTTGAAAAGAGGATGGTCCTTGAGCTGTGAGGCGGAGACTGTGATGCACACCATCTCCATGGAGGATTTGATGGTTCATTGTGAGAACTTTGATTCTTTCAAGCCAAAGTACAGGCATTAGAAGGAATGGTATTTAAAGGACTAGAAAATCATCCTATGTTTCTGTCTTGCTTGCATTCTTACTGAGTATCGACTGAGAAAAACAGGAACTCTTACCTCTGAGAAAGCAAGCTTCTTGAGGAGCCCAGCCTGGCCCATAACTAACTTGTCCCCACAGAGGTATGGCTAGTATCAGCTCCCTGCCTCTCAAGAGCTCTTGGGAACATCTTGATTTGTGCCTCTCTCTACAACTTGAGCATCCTTTTTAAGTTTCTCACCTTATGCCTCCCATCGGAACCTAAAACACACCAGGGCTGGTAGCCACAGCCATAGGTTAAATTTATCCTTTACAAATAGGTTCTTTCAGTGCTTCTTGACTGGGTTCTATTTTTACATTGTATAGTACCTGAGAGTACATGTAGAACAGACATCTACCATATTAAGTGACATGGAGCAGAAAACTCGACTATTGGAGACAGCCCAGGCTGCAGGAAGCACCTGAGTTTACTCCTAGTTCTTTCATGATGGTCAGCTATCTCTATTGTCCCCTTGCTCCCTGGTTTTATCTTGGTCCAAGTGCCATCTGTACCTTGCAGGGAAATGATAGCGTCCATGACAGTCATAGTATTTTCTTTGTGGTTCCTCCTGTCTCCTCCCAGCAACACTGAAGGAATTAGTCTCACAGACAATGATCCGATGGGCCCAGGAGAACCAGATCCAGGATGCAGAATTGGTCCGGATGATGTTCAGCCTCCTCCGGAGGCAGTACGACAGCATTGGGGAGCTGCTGCAGGCCCTGCGGAAAACCTACACCATCAGCCAGGCCTCTGTGGGTGATACCATCAACCTGCTGGCCGCCCTGGGCCAGATTCGCTCCCTCCTCAGTGTCAGAATGGGCAAGGAAGAGGAGCTGCTCATGATCAACGGGTTGGGGTAGGTGTTCACAGTTCTGCACAGTTCTCTCAGAGCGCTCCCCATGGGAGTGTATCCTTGTAACCTGAGAAACAGACCACCTGCTACTCACAGTGAAGGGGCATTGCTAAAAACGCCTGGAGGATTCTTGGAGAAGCAGCAGTAATTTCACTTGAATCTTATGAAAATAGCTCTAGGAAAATAGCTAGAAAATAGCTCTAGATTTTTTTTTCTCAGGAAAAAAATCTGAGAAAGGGACAATATATTCAAACCAGGACAGAAACAATTTGAGCTTTTGACCAGATATTTTCTGAGCCTTCCCTCTGAAAGTTCAGGGCACCTGACCCTTTTGTCTGAGGGCTAACTTAGAGTCATTTTTCTTGATGCTATGAAATACCTTTACCTCATCGCTCTGTCTTACAAACCATGTTACAAAACAACTCATAGTATTTTAGACATTGGGCAATTTCCATTAATTATGTATTATGGCACTTGAATTTTGCAGATGAGAAAAACATTCCCTCAGAAGAGTCACTAACAAGCTCACAATTTCACATGATTAAAATCAAAATCAATCTTGCACCCTACCACCCTTGAGTGGGCAAATCACAGGAGCAATCTGTAAGGTCCAGGAGAGGGACTTTGAGGGTCACTGGAGTTGTGGACACATGCATTCCTCAAACTCATTTCCAAAGAGGAACTTTTAATAGAAATGAGAGACTTCTATATGAAGGGGAAAAGCAGCAGATTAGACCCAGCTCCAACTTTTGCAATAGACCTAGCAGCAAGAGGGGAAAGGAGTGGGCAGGTGGACAGAAAGTAACCACTCATCAGGGACACAGGGCCAGTTAAGAGGCAACTTCTACATCTCAAATCTTCCCTGTGCTGCAGCTTCATTTTGTGAATTTCTATTGAATGACTTAAAACTAATGGTTCTTTCGTGTTAGTGTCTTTGGTTTTTTAAGGACTCCTACTTGCAGACTTCGTGGTACCTAATATAAAATTGCTTTAATAAAAGTGTACAGCCCTATCATTAGGACACTGAAGCACAGAGAGACATAAATATAAGGACAAAAGAATAGAGAATTAGAAGGTTCTGAGTATGTGGAGGAAGAGAAATCAGTGACTTAGACCATCTCAAAAACAATTACAAGTAAAAAGACCAGGGACAACTGTTTAAATGTCATCAGGAAGAAACATTTTAGAGAGAGAAAGCAAATACTCAGAAATCAAGGAGCAAAGAATATCCCCATCAGTAAAAAAGGTGCTCCACATACATTCTAAGTGACCTAGGACTATCTTATCTTTTCAGCCACTACTTTTATATTACTTCACCTCCAATGTGCTTGTGTCCTCATGCCTGAGTTTTCATAGAACAGAAATAAGCAGTGTTGAACGCTCTCTCTGACTCTTACCTAGGGACATAATGAACAACAAGGTGTTTTACCAGCATCCCAACCTCATGCGAGTCCTGGGCATGCACGAGACAGTGATGGAAGTGATGGTGAATGTGCTGGGTACAAAGAAATCACAGGTAATGCCACACCCTGATTCTTGGGGCAGAACTTGACTCTTAGGGCAGGGGCACAGAGCTGGTTCTGTTACCTCAGTTACTCTTCTTGGAGAGAGAGGAAGGGATTTATGAACAGTGCCAGAAAAGAGCCAAGAGATGGGGCAGTGGCTCTGGGTAGGTCCAGCTGTGTAAGAGCCCCAGCTCTCAAAGCGTGGGGGCTCTGCTTTCCCACCCACTGGGCTGTTTAGCACTATGTTTGCTCCCCATGGTCTGCAGCTCTGCTCCTTCTAAGATGGAAAACTCCAGGTCCCACCTGGGAGCCTGCTGTGCTCTGCTCTGTGTCAGGAGCCAGCTGTTCTGAAGGAGGGCAGACCTTAATTACGGCCCTGGCAGTGTTCTCTCAGGGATGTTCCTGTTTCTTCTGTTAGTCAGGCTTCTGACAAAGCCAGTTTCCTGGCAGCTCCCCTGTAAAGTCAGAGGGAGCTCCCATTGGCAAGGGAAAAGCAACAGGGAGAGGGCACACTCAGTATTTATCCCATCTTGACTGAGGCCCTCTTTAGTCTACTTCTGAAGGCATAGGTGGGATATGGTTTTAAACACTGCCAATTCCAAATGTCCTGATGCTAGGAATAAATGACTTCTTATGCAGTTTCACTTGTCCAGTGGGTGAAGGAGGAACAGAGGCTGAACTCGTGTTCCTTCTCACTGGCTTCTTCTGGTCCCTTGGGGAAGTTAAGTCTTTGCAAGATCCCTGAGCACATTTCTGGAGGTCTCAGCAAGCAAGCGACTGCAGGCTTCAGATTCATGGTTCTTAGAGCATCCTCCATGAATCTAAAGGGGGAAATTGAGGGTTTTCTAGGATCCTGAGGAAAGTTAACAGTGACGCCAATTCATTGTGCATATTGTAGGATCAAAATAAGATGTGATCTGACATAGAGATGCTAATTGCTTTGTTAAGCATGAGCGCCAAACCCAGTCAGCTGTAAGTAAGATGGCATCTCCTGCTAAAATGTATGACTCTGATTACAGTTGTAGTAGGAGCCCATAGGTGGAGCACTTACCAAGGACAAATGTGACTGGGGAGGCTCCTGGAGACAGAGCAGGGTGTTCTCCAGGCTTTCCTAACTGTAGGGGCCAGCCTTGACCCAGGGGACACAGGTGCAATATAGTGGCAGGCCTTGGTGTCGTATGATTCCCCCACCTCCCTTTCTGACATTCCCCATCAGAGTTCTGTCCACTCCCTCTTAACTAGACACAACAGTAGTCTGAAGCTGAGTCCTGCAATTTCACACAACTCCCAGGGAAACGGATTCTGGTGGTGGCTGTTTGCCTTTGGAAGAAAGAAAGTCCAGGAACTATAGTTAGCTCTCAGTATTTTTGGAAGAATCCTCTTCAGTGTCCTCTACTCTCTTTCCCTTCTGTGAATAAGTCTTGGGAGAATGGGGAGGGAAGTAAGGACAAAATTCACTTTCCAAACTATTCATAACTTGTGAGGTATCAGCCTAAGATGGCTTTAGAGGTTAGATTTTCAGAAGGCCTCATGACAGATTATTTTTTCCGATAGATTGCTTTCCCAAAGATGGTTGCAAGCTGTTGTCGCTTCCTCTGCTATTTCTGTCGAATTAGCCGGCAAAATCAGAAGGCCATGTTTGAGCACCTAAGCTACCTGCTGGAGAACAGCAGTGTGGGCCTAGGTATGTATGTTGGATCCTAGCGTCCATGTTTGGACTCAGAAGTTACACTCCCCCCACCGACCACTGGGGAGGTAAAGAAGTCACATGCATGCCATATGAAGCTTTTAAATACAAAAGTGGACACAGCCTGTTCTAGAAGAAGTATGTACAAGTATGGCTGCACGCTCCAACCTAAGTGGAGATGCTTCTTCCAGCCACCGCTGGGGCAGTTGTGTTGGCATAGTCAGCCAACTCTCTCTTGAGACCAGTGGCCAATAATTAATGAAATGCTGCTTGGAGTTGAGGATGTATTCTGGGGACACAGACCTCCCAATCCACTCGGCTGACCAAAGAGCAGAGTTAATAAGACCAAGGTCATGAATCCAATCCCTTCTTGGCAGGCTGTCCCATCAGCCAACCAGCAAATACTGTGCTTAGCTGCATGGCAGACTGGCCAAGAGCAAGTATGGATAAACAGTGGGCAGCCATTACCACCCCAAGAAAAGCAACTCCATGCATATGCCTGACTCACTGTTCTGTATGTGAGCCAATTGAAGTTTTGGGATACACAAATACATGCACTTGAAATCTGAAATCTCACCTTCTTCTGTTTATCAAATGAGACCTTAGGCTACCAATTGTTTTGTAAAATGCCACCTGAAGTTTTTCTTAATTCTAGCGTATGAACTAAACAACTAAAAATAAAGGTCACGGCCAATGTTGGTGACCTAATGGAATTATTTGAATTAATGCTATTGGAGTCTATTTTTAAACTCCAGATGGTGGCCCCAGAATCATCCAAGTCATTTGGGCTGAAATGGTCAAGTGACATCTGAGCATTTTGAGTGATCACCGCATGGGGCCAAGAAGTTTGTGTTAGAACAACACTTAAAGACATGTTGCAGCCTATCCCATGGACTGATGTTCTGTTGATCCATGCTCACAATCAGTAATGAGTGTGGGAAGAAAGAATAGCAAATAGGGCTGTTCTTAAACCAGGCAGGTTATGCCCTTGGAGAACAGTGGTGTGGACCAGGTTGCAATGTATTTGCTGCCCTCCCCTGTCCACTGTGTGCACTGCAACTTCAAGCTGGGTCTCAGTGGCTTTTTTGTCCCTTTCTGCTCCTTCTCTCCTCCTTCCTCAGCCTCCCCATCCATGAGGGGATCCACCCCACTGGATGTGGCAGCCTCCTCCGTGATGGACAACAACGAGTTAGCACTGGGCTTAGAGGAGCCGGACCTTGAGAAGGTAACTGGCCCTTGGGAGCACTGTATTATTTTCTCCTGCATGAAGTGCATGAAGCCCAGGCGAGGGAAAGCAGGAAAGCTGGGGTATCCATCAGAACCACCTCCTCTTGGTGGGATTGCAGTGGAAATGTGGTAGAGTGTGAGTAATGGCAGAAGCACAGTACTCAGGACCAACGGGTCACCCATGGTGGGGATGGCCAAGTTCATAGACGTGAACTTGTGGACCTTGGTGTTCTGTACATGGAGACCCTTGTCATTGGTCTACATGGAACATCACCAGAGCCTTGAGGTTCCTAATTAAGTTCTGTGTCATCTAAGCCATGAGTTCACTTTTGAAGAAACAGACTAGCCATGAACTTGTGTTATCAATGTCCTTTCCATGTTCAAATAAGAACAACTGAGCAGCCCTTTATTGGGATTGCAAATAGAGTTCCCAGTAATGGCGATGGCTAGGGGCTGATTCATCTACATCTTTTTACCATCACTCTCATAAAACTATTTCCTTGACTGGATAGCTGATAAGATTAACAATGTACTTTCTAAGTGTGGAGAAAAGCAACCAGAAGGGGTTGGGCATGGAGCTGTACAAGTCAAAGGCCACCCCTCACCCCACTGTACAATGGGTTTGGGAGCAGGAACGAGAAGAGCACATATAGCCCTCTTAAGGGAAGGTCACCCAGAAAAAGTGATAACCAAGGGGTGAGGACCCCTGCTAGTCAGCCATGTTTTTGGGAAAGTGCCAGGAGAGTTTGGGGCTCAACAGAGAGTCCCAAAAAGCTGACTGACAGGCACAGAGTACCTGGGAGAGAAAGGAGGCATAGCAGTAAGGCATTGAACTTCATTAGTACTAGAAGTTTACACTCACAGGGCATCGCTAAGTGCCAGGCTGCACTGTGAATGCTTCCCATGGGTTAATGTGTGTGACCCACAGAATAAATCTTTTTATTATTGTTCCTCAGTTATGAGCAAGGAAACTGAGGCATGAAAATGGGGTAAGCTCAGTGTCACCAAGTAAGTGACAGAGCCAGGAATCAAGAGTTTGGATCCAGAGGCTGTGCTTATACCTATTACATTAGAAGACCTCAACAGAGAGGCAGCAGGGATGGCAACCATTGGAGGGCTTCAGCAGGGAGCAACATGGCATTGTGTGTAGTTTAGAAGACACCCTGGTTTCAGTAAAGAACTGATTGGAGCAGAAACAAGACATGGGACAAGAAGAGTTCAGAGGTATCCTTAGTAATCCAAGCACAAGGTGGTGCTGGCTTCAGCCAATATTGACAGTGGACGTGAAAGTGATTGTGTCTACAGGACCTGTAAGAGGATAAATAGCCATTAATCAGGTCTTGGGTTGGCCCACTTTTTCCTCTAAGGAGTGCAGGAGGTGGAGCATGGGCCACCAAATAGCAAAGTAAAGTAGGGGTTTGACTCCTAAAGCCCAGGAGAACTCTCTGAGCTGCAGATAGAGCACCTGGAGGGTGGGTAAGGCCCTAGGGGTTGATGAGATCACTCCAGGGGTCAGCTTAGAGCAAAAAGAGAAACATGGCAGGGTCAGAGCCATGGAAGGGAGTCACAGGAATAAACACCAATGAGATAGGAGGAGGAGGCTGGGCACCGGTGGCTCACGCCTGTAATCCTACCTACTGTGGAGGCAGAGATCAGGAGGATCGAGGTTTGAAGCCAATCCAGGCAAATAGTTTCAAAGACCCCATCTCAAAAATACTCAATACAAGAAAGGTTTGGCAGAGTGGCTCAAGTGGTGGAGCGCCTGTCTAGCAAGCACGAGGCCCTGAATTCAAACCCCAAAAAAGATAGGAGGAGGAGGAACAGTCAGAGAGGAATGAGGAGATCCAGGAACTGTGTCTGAGAAGCTGAGAGGAAAATAATACATTCAGTACTTTTTCTTCCTTCCAAGTAGGGAGCGTGAGGAGGCTCAGAGAAGACAGCTTGAGGAAAGACAGAAGGGAGAGTAGACATCTTATGATTAAATGATGGCCACAGCAGCCAAGTGGCCTTCATCCAGCTGAGGCGGCCTATGGTATGGTGTGGTGTGAACCACATCCTGCTGGTTCAGCCTTGGCAGGGAATCATTGGTCAAGCTGCAGGACTAGGTCCTATCTTTCAAGATGAGGTGGTAATTACCCACAGTAATTTACTGAAGTTTTTGAGTTAGTAAATTCTGCTTCAGATGCATTTAACCAGTAATTACTGAAAGCCCACCATGAACCAGACATATAAAATGGCTGTGTTTATTCAGCTTATTTCTAACAGGAGGAATTCATGTGGTGGTATGAGACTGGCTTAAACACCAGACCCTGTTTTTGACTTAAATACCAGAAATTGATTTTCTTATCATTCTGGGGGCCAAAGTCCGTGGTGAAGACATCATCAGATTAGTTTCTTCTGAGGCCTCTGTCCTTGGTTTGTAGATAGCTGTCCGCCTTCTACATGGCCGTTCTGTATGTTAGCACCCCAGTGTGTGTCTGTGTGTCCAAGTTTCCTCTTCCTAAAAGGACACCTCTACCAGGCTCAGCTTCTCTCAATCATGTCTTCAAAGGTCTTACCTCCAAATACAGTAATACTCTGAAATACTGAGGCTTAGAACTTCAACATATAAATTTGGGGAGACACAATTCAGCCTGTGAGTCCATAATAAACCATTGAGGTCAAAGCTGAAGTCAGGAAGAGAATCTATTTACTGAGTTTGTCACATAGGATTTTACCAAACAACTGACAGCGTAATGAAGGGACCCTGCTTTGTAAAACTCTAAGAAAGGTCCCAACCTGGTGTGACATAGGGCTAATTTTGCCAGGCCGTCCTGCCTGCAAGAGGAGCAGGAGGAAATGAGCAGAGGGAGAATTTAGAAGCAGCTCCTACAAACACCAGAGGATACCACCTGCCCCTACACACACCAAGACTCAAGCTCTGTGTCAGAATTGGTTTCTTGCATGACAGCTGTGCAGACTTCAGTCAGCTCCACTGCTCAGACATCTGAATGACAATAACTCAGTGTTTGTGAAAAACAGCTAAGGGGTCTCCTGTAAGGAGGCAGTGACATAGGGTTTTCAACTCAGTACCAGTTCTAGCCTCAGTTCGTCTTGTGAAATGCAGCTGCTTGAGGAGACACTGGGCCTTGCTGGGAGGGTGTGAAATGTGATGAGCAGGGCGCACAACCTAGGACAGGAGAGAAATGAGAGGCAGAGTTTGCTGCCCACTTTGTGCAGGTTATGTCTGCTTAGCACAGTGCCACAGACTTTATCTGACCAATGCTGGGAAAATTACCCAAGTTTGGTGTGCCACAAAGACAAGCAAAGGACTCATTACGTGCTGGAGCTCCTCCTCCTATCAATCCAACAAAATTGGATCTATTAGAATTGAATGACATCCTTCCCCCAACACACACCACACACACACAGACACCACACACACATCACATGCACATACCACACACACATGCATATACCACACACACCACACACACACATGCACACACCACACACACATGTACACACCACACACACACATGCACACACCACACACACACACACACACACACACATCACATGCACACACCACACACACATGCACACACCAGACACACACCACACACACACAGACACCACACACACCCCACACACACATCACATGCACACACCACACACACATGCACACACCACACACACACCACACACATATACACACCACACACATCACACGCACACACACATGTGCATGCACACACACCACACACACACATGCACACACCACACACACGCACACACCACACACACACCACACACACATATACACACCACACACATCACACGCACACACACACATGCACACACCACACACACACACACCACACACATCACACACACACGCCCATGTATTAATGGCTAGTGAAATGCTCTGCACCTGGAGCCCTGAAGATCCTGCCTAATTCTGGCTTGTATCGATGTCTCCCAGACATCTTTAAGACAAATCTGCACTCCAAGTAGAATAGTGTCTGAATTACTGATTTAAGAAGGAAGATGTGTGTTGATAGATTTTTACAAGTCTTGCCCTAGATTTATTACTCTTGCAAAATAGAGTATTTTACATCAGCAAATGTGTGACTCATTTAACAGTTATTGAGCACCTACTGTGTGCAGGCCTTGGGAATAAAAAAATTAAAGGCTCTGTAGCAGGAGGAATTCTCTTCTCCACATACACTCTGAATTTCAAAAGTAAGATTAGAATCACTACTGCATTTAAACAAAAGCCTTCTTACCAGGCTCTTTGAGGAAAGGTGGCCAGAATCTAAAACCTCTGCCAGACGGCAGATTGAGAGCTTCTGACGAGTGCCTGGGAGCTGGCAGCAAAGGAACACTCCCAATCCTAGTTTTCAACAGGCCTGTCTTTGGCCATCCCAACCTTCAAGTCTTGTCTTTGACTTTGGACTCTTACTGATACAGAGCTTGATTAAGGATCACTGACTGCCCAAGGGTCACTCAGCACTCAGTGACACTACCGTGACCAGCTCAGTGCCACAGAGGAGCCTCTCTTTCACCATGGTGTCTCCACGTGCACCGTTCAAGCTTGCTTTTACACAGCAACTCCCTTTTGCTGGAGCTGGAGAAACCTGAGAACTGACAGCTTCCTCCTACTTAATGATGACCTTGTTGATTACTTGGAAATACTGGATTAGAAGTTCTGGTTACACAGCTGTGGATTATTTTAAAGTCATGGGCACTCTATCTTCTAGGGAAGAAAACCTCTCCAGTTCCCAGAAATGCAGACCCTGTAGCTTAAAAAAAACAAAGCACAACTATGGCCTTCTTTTGCTGGGGCCATGGCTCAAGTGGTAGTACCTGCCTAGCAAGCCTCAGGCCCTGAGTTCAAAAAATTTGAAAAAAAAAAATATATATATATATATAATATATACTATAACTCTATATATGTATGTATATATGTACATATATGTGGCTTATTTTTATTGTAAAATACAATATATATTATTTACCATCCTAATCATTTTTAAGTATACAGTTCTGTGGCATTGAACACTTCATGATGTCATGCAACCCTCACCACCATCCAGCTCCATAACTTTCCATCTTATTAAACAAAACTCTGAACCCATTTCACAGTAACTTTTTCTTGCCCCTTCCCTGTAGCCCTTGTGAACTACCATTCTACTTTAGTTTAGTCTTTATGGTTTTGACTACTTTACCTTTTGTGTGTGACTGGCTTATTTCACTTTGCATATGTCTAAGATTCGCCCGTGATGTGAACCTAGTATATGTCAGAATTTCTTTCCCTTTTAAGACTTCACTGTCTGTATGTACCACATTTTGTTTGTCCACCCATGGATAGACACTTGCTGCTTCTACATTTTAGCAATTGTGACTAACACTGCTGATGAATATGGACTATGTGAGTCTCTCAAGATTCTTCTTTTAATCCCTTTAAATCTGCACTGGAAATGGAATAACTACATAGTTCTATTTTTAGTTTTTTGAGGAACTATTTGTTCCTCAGTAGTGGCTATTTGTTTTATATTCCCATCAACAGTGTCCAAAGGTTCCAGCTTCTCCCTTATCCTCACTAACACTTATTTTCTGTTTCTTTTTTTTTTAATATAATAGCCATCCTAACTTTGTGCATGGATGTTTACTCATGTGCTGTTCTTGGCAGGTAGTTACCTACTTAGCAGGCTGTGGCCTACAGAGCTGCCCCATGCTTCTGGCCAAAGGACACCCCGATGTTGGCTGGAACCCCATCGAGGGGGAGCGCTACCTGTCCTTCCTGAGGTTTGCTGTCTTCGTCAACAGTGAGTCCCACATTTTCCTTGCCTTTCAGACCCAGGACGGCAGAGTTGTGGAGACATTGAGGAAAGGGGAGCCTTTCACTGCTTCCATCAACAAATGCTATAGATTCTGCAGGTGCTGGCAGCTGGCAAGAGAAATCTTAGAGAGAATCAGGCCAGGCAAGGATCAAGAATAGGGTCCAGTGACAGCACTAAGATCCAGTCCCAGACCTAGCAAGATCACTGCATGGGCTTGAACTTGTCACCTTTCTGTAGCTCTTGTCCTATCAATAATTGAAGGAACTTATTAATATATCACCTCACCTCCCACAGAGCTAAAGGTTCATGTGCCTCCAGAACCTTAGAATGAATGAGTGAATCAAAAACTCAGGAATGATTGAATAGCTCTAAGAGATAACTAAACTCCAGGGGAAGAAATTACTATAACAACCCTAAATATTACTTTTCTCAATATAAGTCACCTTCCATTTGTAAGGAATTCCAACTCTACCAAAATTATTTACTTGCCAGAATAATGTGCTAAATCTTGTATGAAATAAGTTGCCTATTTCTTGAAAACTTACCATGTCTCCCAAGATCTTGCTATAATCTTTAACTCACTTGTATTTGCATCACAGTTATGATCCTTCTCCCTGCTCTCACTTTTGGGTTCAAAACATCTGCACTGCATCCTCCTATATATTTATCACAGATTTGCTAAACTCTGTTTTTGTCTCTCAGAGACAGTTTTAGAGTATCCTTAGTAGGATAGTCTGTTCCTCTTCCAAATAATTCCATCCAAATAATCACATTCCAGACTCAACACAGAATTAGTGTAGCAGTAAAGAGAGAGGTGTGTGTAGTGGATATTAAGAACTTATACAGCTCACCAAATTATGTGATAGACTGCAAGACAGACAAGCCAGGTCACAGCAGGACCACTTTACTTACCTTGGCCACCTTCTCAGTCAAGATCAAAACCTTTATGAGTCATTTAGTGGAACCATCAACATAGATTTGAAGATGAAGAAATCCACCGGCTATGCTTCTATCCAGATTGCCTGAATTTCAACATGTAGTTTTGCTGATTAGGTACAACCAAACTGAACTAAACTCTAGACTGAAATATTTGGTCTTCCCCCTTTACTTTCAGGTTGTTTTATGTCTTTTTAGCATATTCTCTGTACTACAGTTCTAGAAAATTGGCCCATCAGTGGGCAGATGTATGCATTTTGATTCAATATTTATTGTACCTCTGTAAGATAAAGGCCATATTTGGTTTTGACAAAGGATGTTGGTTTCTGCTCTCAAAGAATTTACAGTTTTTTAAGGGGAGTGTAGATGAAAGGAGATACAAAAGATCTTCAGAGAGCACTGAAGCTTCAAGAAAGGAAACTCCTATCCTGGAGAGATCAGAAAAAGCTTCCTTAGAGGAGGCAGAGTTACAGATGAGCCTGAAGGATCATTTCCAGATAGGGAGATGCAAGGGAGGTGATCCAGTCAGTCAAGGGAGCAGGATGTGCAGCAGCTATAAGGCTAATGCATCCTGTTCTCAGGAAACCATGATGTGTCTGGCCAGAAAGTGGGTATGTGAATGGCAGTGGTAAAGGTGAGGTTTGAAAGGTCTGAAGGTGGCTGTAATGGGGAGAACCTAAACACCAAGCTGGAAAGTTTAGTGTTGATCTGTTGTGTAGAGAATAGGGAAACCTTTTAACAGGAGAGAGCCTGGGGACCTGTCTGTGCTCAGAGTGAAAGAAATGATAAGGATGGCAGTAGGAATGGAGAGACTGATGGCGACAACTGACAGGTTCTGTGCTTAGAGTGGAGAATGAGGTAGAAATGCACATTTGAAGTTTATGAGATGTGGTGGTGGTAGTAGTGGTAGTGATGACGAGGAGGGCAGCAGCTGAGCTGCCGTGTTGAAAGTAAAGGTATAGAGTTCAGATCCTAGCTTATAGCTTTTAAGGTAGAAAAAAACAAGGATAAAAGGAGGAGAACATGGTTTAGCATAGAAAGCTTAGTTTGGATCAAACTATACAGATGTCACATGTGCAATACCCAAATAGAGGCACCCCTAGTTTGGTTATAAGGATAGAGATCAATCAGTCAACAGATGGAAACAGAATAGATCTGCAGACAATTTAAACCCAAAATGGTTGAGAGTAGATTGTCTCAGAGGACATTAAAGACAAATATGCAGAGAATAAATAACAAGGAATAGTTTGAATACCTACAGGAAGAAGAGTCGCACAATCACAATGATATGGGAGCATTTGGGATGGAGAATGAAGTGTCTTGTATTCAAAATCGGCTCTGTCACTTACTAACTGAATTTAAGCAAGTTGGTAAAATTTTCCTACTCTCAGACCTTTTAATATATAAAACAGCAGTAATACTAGTATTGTACCTCAGAGTTGTTATAAGTCATGAATGAAATAATCCATGGAAAACTTAGATTAGCACAGTGTTACAGATATAGTAAGCCTGCATCTGTGTTAGTTATCATTATTGATCATGACCCCTACAAGGACTAGAGCATTTGAAATGGGGAGACTCTGATAAATAATTTCTTGGAGATTTCAAAGCCCCATACAAGTCCTTATATCTAAAAGGTAATTAAAATGGATATTTTGGCAACTTTTGTGAGCAGATCCTCTGAAAGATTAAGGTAGTATAGGGTATCATGGTAGACGATAGAGCATTTATGGTGGGTAATGGTGGATGGTGGTAGGTGGTGATGGCAGATGGGAGCATTCTGTGGTGGGCAATGGTGGATGGTGGGTAGTAGAGGTGTTCCTGATGGGTGATGGTAGATGATGATGGTAAACAGTGGTATTCATGGTAGACGATGGTTGTGAAGGATTGAGTGTTCGTGGTAGGTGATGGTAGATGACAGTAGGTAGTAGTAGATGCTAAACATCCTGATGGGAGTGTTCATGGTGAGTTATAGTGAGTGATAGTGGGAGTTCTTCTAGAAGGTGGTGAATGTGATGATGTTAGTGGAATGTGATGGTTATGGAAGTGATGAAGGTGAGTGATGGTTAGTGATGGTAGTCATGGTGATGAGTAATGATGGGAGGCAGCAGGTAATGAGGATAATGACAGCTGATACTTACTGAACATTTACCACATGCCAGGGCCTACTCACAGCAGGTAGGCTCAATTATCTTCATCATTTTATAGATGAAGTCCCTAAAACTTAAATATGTTGCCTAGAGTCACACGGGAGGAAATTAAGCCAGGATTGAGTCAAAGTAGTTTAACTCTGAGGCCTTGCTAGCACCATCTCCTTAATGAGCAAGGAGAAAAGGTATTTTCTCCACCGAGCTTATCAAAAATTATGGTATAGCTGGGCATGGTAGTGCATGCATATAATTCCAGCACTTGGGAGATTAACACAGGAAGGTCATGAGCTTGAGGCCAGCTTGGGCTACATAGGCTTAAAAAAAAACTGTGGGGGCATGGCTTAAGAAACAAAGAAATTATGACATTAATTACTTTTTATTGCTGCTGTTTCTATAATTTTTTTAAATCCAAATGAAAAGCTATGAGTAGTGGCATATGTTAATAATTCCAGATACTAGAAAGGTGTGGGTTGACCCCAGGCAAAAAACACAAGACTCCATCTGAAAAATAATTTTAAAAAAGAAAAAAAGGCTGGCGGAGTAGCTCAAGTGGTAGAGTGCTTGCCTAGTGTGCACAAGGCCCTGAGTTCAAACCCTAGTAGCAACAATAATAATAGAATTGGAGGATTCTTTCTAGTATTATTTTACTCGTGTCTCTTAATTTTTTGTTTAATCTTCTTTTAAAAGATTTCAATTTAAAAGGACTTCTTAAAGCTGATTAGTTTCTCTACTTCATTTTTATTATTTTGGTGAGAAGCCCTGGGTCACATTTAACTCTGGGAGTAATGAAGCGAAGATGCTTCCACTTACCCGGCAACAGCTCCCTCAGTAGCCAGGCTACACAGATGTGTCTGGGTGTCTGTGATTAATCACTTCCTAAAGCAGATCTGAGCAGGAAAATTCTTCCTCCCAGTCCCCTAGAAGGGAACCCTGTCACTCTGTACTTGCTCAGAGTCTGGGGAGTGTTTCCAAGCAGAACCTGGAAAACACATCTCATTGCTCCTCCCAGCTCCTTCTGTGCTCTTCATGTGTCCCATGACAGATGACACCAGTTATGGCACCAATGATAATTTGCCTGGAGAAGCTGATCAGCGCAGCTGGAACACTGTGCTCCTCACAAGTGAGTTCATAACCTGGAAAGGTATATACCTCCTCTAAGTTCTTCTCTGTAGTCACTGGCATCCCAAAACAGGAAACAGCAAACTCAAGTAGAAATATCAGAAATATGCCTAGAGTAATTACTAAAAACTCTACAATCAACCCCACCTTCCTATGCAGTGACACATGGGACTGCTGACATGCCAAGAAAAATGGGTTTTATTGGAGATCCAGTAAAGTTGGTATAGGAATGCACAGGGAAGAAGATGGATGTTGAGTAACAACTTGAAGAAAGAAATGGATGTGTTTCTTAAGACTGGTGTAGGGAGGTCATACTGATTGATGGACCCTTAAGATGGGGAAAATGCATCTGTTACAGTCAAGAGTATGATGTGGTGTCTTAATGTCAACAGCCATAAATGACATAGGTGCTTAAGAATCATCTAGTTCAAAGCCAGAGATAAGTAACTTGTCAAGATAACATTAATAGAAAACAAATCCCTCAAATCAAGAAACTAATGGAAAACCAACACCCAGAGCCCCAAAATCAGAAAGAAATCTGGGAAGAATGGATGTTTGACACTGCTACTCTCACACCAAGCCATCCTCTAAGGCCCCTGTGGGGTTCAATACCAGTGCTGACCAAGCATGTTGTCAGTGGCCTCAAATGTGCAGAATCCAAGTGGGCTTCACCAATCATCTCACTGATAGGAATAGTGATTTAAGCCTGGTGCCTAAATAAAACTATGCATTTAAGCTGAAATAGTGTGAGAAAAACAAGTTTTAAAGCCCTGATTCGCA